TGTCAACACACATAACTATTACACATGTAAATATAGTGAGAAGACTCACATCGCAGATAACAGCTAAACACCATAGCTCACACATAGAGTAGACAGGTACAACGAGACACCTAACAATAATAAAGAAGTACCCTCTCAATCTACACCCTAAAACCTTAATTTGGTTAAAAGTCAACCATGGTTAAAAGTAAACGGTAAAACTCAGCTCCAGCTGATCATCATGTCGTGAGCAACCATTGGTCATGTCGTGACCAAGTTAGGGCAAAACAGTCATGAAATGGTCATTCGTCACGACGTAACACTCAACTCGTCACGTCGTGGGAATCGCTCTTTAAAGTTTTAGGCATTAAGCTCTTAATCTTTCAAAATAAGCATTCAAACTTTCTAGAAGGCTTCCTCCAACCCAAAGGACCATAAAAATCATTTCTTTACAAACATACATGTCCAATGCATGTCTTGAACACAAACTAGGCAAAAATAAATGGAAAATGAGACCAAATTTCATGCATGGAATCCATAAGTCACTAATCTTCCAGATGGAGTAAGAGGGTCACAAAGGAGTCTCAATGGCTCATAAAGTTGCGAACTTTATGAGCTCCATTCACTCAAACTTCCTCAACATTGATAAAAGTGGACAAAACTCTAGATCTAACATGCTTGAGCTAAAAAGGCATAAACTTGAGGAGTTGCAAGAGTCTTAAGGTGCTCAAGGTGATGAGGAAGAGGCTTGCTAGCTGGAATGATACACCAAAATGCCTTCTCTCCTTTTTCAAGTCTAAAAACCACCAAAAAGGAGCTCACAATCAACAATGGAGGATTATTATTCTCTTGAGGGTGAAGGCAGGTGATGGAAGCTGACGATGTGCAAGCCTTAACCCTCACTTCCCTTAAATATGACACAAAACTGAGATTAGGGTTAACACTTTGGCAACCGTCACGACGTGATAACATGCTCGCCACGTCATGAAACCTAAAATGAATGTGTGCCTTAAGCATCAATGGTCACATCGTGATACATCCTTCATGACGTTGTGATCATTTAATCCTTAATTTTGATATTTTAATTGGCCCAAAAACATAAATAAATCATTGCGTGGAAGAGATGTTACACATTCGGCTTCGAAAATATGCATCCTTTGGTGGGATCATGTAAAGAAACAACGTTCACAAGACGGGAGCCTAAAGTTAAGACATGGGCGAAGATGAAAGAGTTATTATAGGCAAAGTACCTCCTGATCAATCACCGACAAGAAGTTTTTCATGACTACCACAATCTTAACCAAGGAAACTCCTATCTCGAAGAATTCATTATTGATCTTCGTTTTGATAGTGTCGATGTAGTGCACCTCTGACAATATTGCGCGTATGTCGATGTTTGTCGCTTGGCTCTCAGGGTCGAAAAACAACTCAAAACTCAAAACAGCCCCTCGACCAATTAGTTTACCGCCCCTTCTTGGCTTCCCTCTGCAACAAGCAATAAATCCCCCCCCCCCCTTTTTAAAATTGACCCCCATACCAACAATGCAAGTACTACACCCAGTCCACGTGTTATTCGGTCTTTCAAGTGCCAAGGAATAGGCCATCTTGCAAGAGAATGTCCGCATAAACAATTAAAGTTAGTGGAAGACCCGACACTTATCTATGATACCGATAATGAGGAAAAAATAGTTGAAAAGCAGAGTGAAGTGGTGTATGTTGATCATGGTGAAGCTTTGGTGATCTAACATGTTCTCAATGTAATGTTGTCTAAAATTATAGATGATACATTATGGCTATGTAATAACATCTTCCATACCAAATGCGCCGCAAAAGGGAAAGGTTTGGAGCGTCATTTTCGACGGGGTAGCTGTGAAAACATGGTGGCGACGAGCTTGGCAGATAAGTTAGGACTTGAAGTAGAAAACCATCCCAAATCACATGGTTAAAATGGCAACATGGTTAAGGTTAGTTAATGGTGCTTAGCTTAATTTTCAATCGGCCATAAATACACTAATCAGGTATGGTGTGAGGTGATTCCAATGAATGAATGTTAGATTTTGTTGGGGCGAACATGACAATACAATCGAAAAATCAAGCATAATGGTTTTAAAAATACATATAATTTTAAAAATGATGGTATCAATATTACATTAGCACCCCCAGATTTTTATGTGAAACACCCACCGATACATTATTCTTAGAAAAATGAGTCCATGGAACTTACAAAGATTACACCTAAACCCTTTTTATTTGCTTTAGTTGTAACAAAAACAATCAAACTTGTACTAAACTGTTCAGCGCTGATCCAACCTTTATTAGATGAATTTAGTGACATTTTTCTTGATGATATTCTATTAGAATTTGGGGTATTAATGATATCAATTTACTTGGATATATCTAGGATCGTGATTGCAATCACTTTCCAAAATTTTTTATTTCAACCCTATAGCCTAAGGCATCACAAAATCAAATGTATGATTTTCGTGTATATATGTTCCTTGTTGTTTTGGGTTCTTGAGAGATAGATCAAATTAAATGCATGATTTCATGTATATATATGTTCTAACCCGTTTTCTAGAACCAGAAATTGTTGTTATATAAGAGGGAAAGTAGTTAAATGGAAGTAGCATGCTCTTGGCGCCAAAAATGTTAGTTATTAAGACATAACCAACTTATAACATCATCATGATATCACTAATGAATTTGAATGGTGATATAAAATCACCATGATATCACCACCGCCGCGGTCTCTCCCCCTTGGACCCTTCTAGGGGCACTGTCTCTAAACCTCATCACGGACACAGCCACTTGGAACCCTGAACCCAGGCATGCTGCCCTTGGACCCCCATATTCCCGATTTCACATTTATCACTCTGAGTGTGCACCCCGCACCTTCTATCTCGGTTAATAAATGGAACTCAACTTATCTCATTATTAATAATTATTACCCCAAAATATATTGATAACACTAAAATCACCAACATATTCCACATGGGTTACCTCTTATGAGAGAAATTCAACATTGTATCTATTTCTTATCAGGAGCAACTATTCCAAACAAACTCGCGTACAACATGTGTAACATCCATAAAAAATCAAGCCAATTTAAAAACTTATTAAATATCCAAAATACCACTAATTATTACAAAGTGTTTTCAAAATAGTTTATACATCAGAGTTCCCAGAAATCACAATCATAAATCGAGGAAGTGTACGGTCACGCCTTCACCTTCCCGCAGTCATTCACTGAACCTAAAACAATAAACTGAAACTGTAAGCCTGAAAGCTTAGTGGGTTACCCCCAAAATACTCACACGCACAACGATTCACATACCATAACAAACAACACATTATGGGTCCAATCATCCATCAGGATGGAATATCCCAGGCCCTCAACCATCGGGTTGGAATGCCCACATACTACGAGTCCAATCATCATCGAGATGGAATACTCTCGGCCCACAACCATCGGGTTGGAATGCCCACACACAATACATATATAACAGATACTATGGGTCCAATCATCCATCGTGATGGAATACCCCAGGCCCCTCAACCATCGGGTTGGAATGCCAACATACTATGGGTCCAATCAACCATCGGGTTGGAATGCCAAAATCACCAAAAGTCCATAGAAGGCGTACGTTGGGCGTACCCCAAGGCTACCTGGGGCGTAGACGAGTATCGCATTGACTGGAAAATGGGGTCATTGACTTAGTATGTTAGGCGTATAGAACCTTACGCTAGGTGTACGCAAGGTTTCACCAAAACCCTAATAAGTGCTTAATGGCTTAAGCACTTAATCCCAAACGCCAGATCTAGTGACCAAATGTGACTAGGACTCATAAAGTCTTGAACTTTATCACTTTGGATGTCCAAAAAGCTCTTAATCCATTAAGACCCTTCAACACCATGCATGGGACATCTTAAGCCATTGGGACCTCATTTTTATCACTTGAGACCTCTTCAAGGTCCAGAAAGGATAGTTTATCTCGTCCAAAATGCACCATGCACCATATTGGGGTATTTGGGACAAGAAATGGTTCCATAATGCTAGAAAGGCTAGATCTATGACCTACAAGCATAGAGTTTGAAGCTTTTTACCTCCTAGAGCTTCTAGGGCACAACACAACTTCATACCTATTTGTTGCAATGGCTTCACCTTCAAGAGCTCAAAATACCCACCAACTCACTCTCACACATAAGAACTAGGGGTTGGGGATGTTTTTTGAATATGGAGGTTGAGAAGGAGGAGAGAAAATGAGACATAAGGATTTTTATATAGCCCCTTACCCGAGATATTATGGTTTCCTTCAGATATGAATACGCCCACCATACACAAGTGTATGCCCAGCGTACTAGGGCGCGCCCTAGTACGCTCAGCATACCCTTATGTATGTGTAGCATACTCCTTTTGGTTCCAAAATTATAATTTCGTCCTTAGGCTCTTCATGGCTTGACCCTGCCATCCCTAGGGACTACAAATGACACATCTTGGGATGTTACAACATGAATACAAGAGAATATAAAAAACTACACTAACAAGCGATCGAATTACTCGAGAAAAGATTCATACATGAGTGCATGAGCCCATATGTCGTTTCCAGGGTCGGCCCTAGAGGGAGGGAAAGTTGGGCGACCGCCCCGAGACTCGTCAAATCTCGGGGCCACTACAAGTTAGGGTTAGTATATATATATTATAGGCTAAGATATATAATATATTTAGTAGCACAAAAGCTAAAGAATTTGCAAATGACATGGGTAATTCGTTGGGTACTTTGAAGGCTATATCTTAGGCCCATGTTCGAACCTCGCTTGTTAAGTTTTTAGATTTTTACATTTTTTTGGAACTTATACATTATTTTCCTGTGTATAATTTTTTTTTTCTTTTATGGAAAAGAACCTCGAAGAGTCGCCGTCTCTTAAATTTCTGAACTTCCTTTTCCTTCCTCTTAAATCTTTCAAGTCCCAAAGCATTTCTTAACACTTCAAGAAGCAATTTAATCGCCTTCACAAGGAGAATGTATTATGGATATCAATCTAAAGGTAATGTATTGTTTTTGTTTTCTTATTTGCTTTGTTTATCAATTTCTATAGATTTAGGTTTTGATTTTTGATTTTTGGGTTTCAATGTTACTCGGTTTTTTGATTTCTATAGTGGATTATGGATAGCAACCTAAAGTTATATATTACTTTTCTTTTCCATTTGGGTTGTTTATCGATTTCTACAGTCGATTTATTCCTTTGCACAAGCTTTTTTACGTAGAGAAAGTGTGTGATTTTGGTTGTCTATTAAGTGTTTGATGAAATGCCATAATGAAATTCACTTTTGAATAAAATACAGGTAATACAGATTTACAATTTCATTTTGGTCTGCATAGTATATTGATTCCAAATTTCTAATCAATGATCAGTGGTGCTTTTCTTTAATATTTTACCAATTGTGAATGCATAATGAGTCGTGCTATCTATCAAACAACGAACAAGAAAAATAAATATATATCCATGGACTTCAATGGCGTTCTCAACTTTCTCTAAGTACAAGCATCTATAGCAGAATTATAATAAAAAAGGATGTTGAAATATGAGAACAGGGGGCGTGTGGAACAAAGAAAAAAAAAATGTTTATAAAGTTTGAATAGATTGAAAGATTAGCTTTAAATATTTGGTTTCTAGTTATGTTTGATTTCACATGGTGCTAATCAAGAATATCTTGCGTTATTCTATTAAGTAGTAGCTTTTTTTGTCTATAAAGAAGTATGCAAAGAGACAAATTTTAACCACATGTTGACAAATGGAGACTTACATAGATAAACATGTACTAATATATATATATATATATATATATATATATATATATATATATATATATATATATATATAGAGAGAGAGAGAGAGAGAGAGAGAGAGAGAGAGTAATCCATGTATGTTTATGTTCGGTCCTTTTTTACAAAAAAACGTTCTAGTGAATTAGCATATGTTATTGTTTCGTATATTAATTGAAACTATTTGATTATAATTCTTTTACTAAGAAGGGCCTCTTTTTTATTTGCCTCGGGCCTCAAATTGGCTAGGACCGGCCCTGGTCATTCCTGCCTTATTGATTCCAAAACACGGGAGTGCATTGCACATGTAAATTGATTGTAGAGTCGTTAATAAAATCATGATTAAATACCAATTTCCCATTCCCCGGTTCGATGATCTTCTCGATTAGTTGCGTGGATCAACCATTTTCTGAAAGATTGATTTGTAAAGAAGGTATCATTAAATTTGTATACGTCCGAGTGATTGATGGAAAACATCTTTTAAGATGAGAGACAGTTATATGAGTGGATGATGATATCTTTTGGACTATCGAATGTCCCGATCACATTCATGCTACTTATGGGTCGTATTTTTAAGCCTTTTATTGATCGTTTTATTGTTGTTTAATTTGATGACATTTTGGTGTTTAGAAGGAATATTGAGCAACATTTGAACCATCTACACGAGGTTTCTTCCATCTTACGTGACAAAAAATTGTATGCCAACAAGAACAAATGTCATGTTTTATCCGGTGAGGTCATATTTCTTGGTTATTTGGTGTCGGAAAAAGGACATACAAATAGATAATACAAAGTTGGATGCATTTAGGAGTTAGCCTACACCTACTGTGATCCATGATATTCGAAGTTTCCATAGGCTAACTTCTTTTTACCGAAGATTTATAAGAAATTTTAGTACCATTATTGCTCCTATGACCGCTCTTATGACATAATGCATGAAAGGTGGAAAAATCAAATGAACCAAATCAACAATTCAAGTATATGAAGAACTCAGAAAAAGGGTCACCCAAGCTCACATTTTGGCACTCCCAAATTTTGACAAAGTGTTTCAAGCTGATTGTGATGCTTTCGGGTTTGGCATTAGTGGAGTGTTGAGTCAAAAACAATGATCAATCACTTTCTTTAGTGAGATGTTCAAAGAGGCCCGTCGCAAATACACTACATACAACAAATAATTTTATGCGGTTATACGTAGTTTTGAATATTGGAGACATTACTTGTTACCAAATGGGTTCATTCTTCTTTTGGATCACTAGGCCCTTAAATATATTAACGGACAACATAAACTCAATCTTCGTCATGCCAAATGGGTTGAGTTTCTTCAAGTTCATTATTTTATCATACGACACAAAGATGGTTTGTCAAACACCATAGCGAATGGCCTAAGTCGTCATAATGCATTGATGTCACCAATGAAAATTCCAGGTGTGTGGTTTTGACACTTTCCGTGCTTTGTATCAAGATGACCCCGACTTTCAAGAAATTTAGCGTCAATGTCAACTTCAAACGTCTCCATGAATGATGGGTACCTTTTCAATATTGGTTGGTTATGTGTTCTTAAATGCTCTCTACGTAACTCCATAATTTAGAAAGCCACTAAAGCAGATTTGTTGCTCGTTTTGGATTAGATAAGACACTTATCTTGATTTGTGGTAAATTTTATTGGCCTAAGATGGAAAGGGATGTTTCACACATCATTATGAGATGTAGTACATGTCATATTGCCAAATCTCATAATACTAATGTATGATTATATACCCCACTACTTGTTCCTGAAGCTCCTTGGGAGGAGCGGGAGCATTGATTTTCTTGGGTTTGCCGCATACCAACAATAAAAATATTTCATTATTGTCGTTGTTGGCCGTTTCTCTAAAATGGCTCGTTTTGTGCCTTGTTCCAAAACGTATGACATAAGTCGAATCGCATAGTTATATTTTGTTGAAATTGTCAAGCTTCATGGCATGCCGAAGACGATAACCTCCTGAACGCGATGTTCAGTCCGATAGTCATTTTTGGCGGACACTTTAGAAACGTATGGGCTCACATTCTCAATTTAGTAGCTCCCACCATCCGCAAACGGACGATCAAACTGAGGTTACAAATCGTAGTTTAGGCAACCTCCTACGCAATCTCATTGGTGATAACCCCAAACAGTAGGATCTAATTCTTTCTCAAGTCGAGTTTGCATATAACCAATCCAATCATCGAACAATGAGAAAAGGTACCTTATAGATGTGTATGGATGCAACCATTTTACTCCTGTAACACCCATTTTCCAAGATGAATTGATTTTGGGTTTTAAGGAGTCAAAATGTTGGTCTTTGGAGAAAATAGAGTGTCACGACGTGGTCATTGGGTGGTCACAGCGTGTCAAGAAAAATATGAGAAACGCATTTCGGAACCATTCTCACAACATGAGACATAAGGTATCACGACGTGAGACATGTTGCAGCCCAAGCCCATGACCGTTAAGGGTTTCCTTCGTATTTAAGCCCCTCTAAGTCCATTTTAGGGTTAATTATCAACCTCCAACATCCTTTTACCTTAAAAAAAACCCTAACCTTAATTTCCTTGATGATTCTTAACCTTTTTGGGCATTTGTTGGCTTGAAGAATAAGAGAATAAGTAGAAGAAAGTGTTATATTGGTGGACCTTGCAAGGAAACATCAGTATCATCATGTTATATTCTTTTTGGACCTTTGTAAGTGTCAAAGGCTCAAACTTTATTGCTTAAAATGGTTAGATCTAAGTTGTTGTCACATGTCTTTCATGTTTAAGCAAGTTTGAATGAAGGAGTACATAAAGTTGGCAACTTTATGCATTCTAAAGATTCATTGAGTATGATAATGGTTAGATCTAGGATTTGGTTGATTATGTTGTGTTGTATGTGGTATTTTGGGGAACTCACGAAGCTTTGTACTTACGACTTTATGTTTATGGTTTCAGGTACTTACGGTTCTAAGGGGAAGAGATCGACATGATTGTATCACATCCACCAGTGTTCTGCATGATTTGATTTGTTTTGTACTCTGATGATTGTATGACATGTTTTTATACTCTGATGGGATTTCAAATTAAATGAATGGTTGTTTTGATTGATTTAAGGAAAAAATTTATATTATAATTTTTGGGACGTTTCAGCTCCACTTGATTTATCCCCGCTTCTAGTTGTTGAGCATTATAGCGTTGAGGGAGAAGAACATTCCACGCAGATCAAACAGCTTCATCAAGAAGTGTGTAAACAAATCATCAAACACAATGAACAATATCAGAGTAGGGAAAATCAACACGAGAAACAAATTCTTTACGGAGAAAGTGACCTCGTTTGGATTCATTTAAGACACGAAAGTTTTCCGGCAAGGCGTTTCGAGAAATTGAAGCAAAGGCGATGGTCCTTTTAGGGTTCTTCAACGAATATTACACTAAAACACCATTAGAACATATAAAAAGTATAGCATATCAATATTTGGTATACAATATACTTTAAATGTTCTTTATGTTTATCTTTTGATGCAAATGATGAGTTTATGTATTTTCGATATCGCACACTCTAAACAATAGATCGAAACAATTATTTTTCATGAATCATCACACTTCGTAACCAAATTTTATTTTATACAAAAACTATGCGTATAATTGAGTGTTAATTTGGTCAAATTTACGACAATGTATTATATAACTTATACTACCTCTGTTCCATATTTATTGTCCACTTTTGATTTTTAAAATCTTTATTCTTCAACTTTAGCCTTAAATAATTGTTTTTAACATATATAATATTTGATGCAAAATATATGAATAGATTGCATTTTAAATGTCTTGTCATTGTTATAACTTTCATCAAACAAATTATAACACAAATAATAATATTTAAAGTCAAAGTTAAAGAATAAACATTTCAAAAGTCAAAAGTGGACAATAAATATTTGACGGGTGGAATAATAAATCCATATAATACCAAATTGATTCGATTCAAAAGTCTATAGACAACTATCACCTAAATCTAAAGTTTCCTAGTTATGAGTTTTACGAAATTCAAAATGTTATACATCGAAATCACCTTCTAACATAAGCTAATTATATATACATACTAATTTTAAAGGTACTTCCCTGTGATCGGTGCCTTTTTCTTTTTTGTTTTCCTTTTTTCTTTTTGGTCTACTTTTCATTAGTTTATTTTGTTATTTCCACGCATCATTCTCTTTCTCCACCGACTTGTGTGTTGTTTGCTTCTACCTTCCAGGTATCTCCCACCGCCTTCATCTTTAATCTCTATAATGGATTATAGTCCCCAGTTTTTGCCCCGTTTTGGAGCTTGCCATTTCTTTCTCCCATCTGGATAATCACCGCCTCATCTATCAGTCCTTGCATTTTGTATGTCATCGGGCGGTCTTCCACGTTTCTATCACAGTTCCTCACCGCCTCCTTTGCCCAATCACATACACTTCCTTCCACCGCCTCCCATTTCACATTATCTTCCCTCCTAACCCATTATCTTTGCTGACGCTCACCCCCGCCACTTCAATCGCCGAATTCCAGCCACCATCTCCACCAAGGGAATCAATCCAACCGCTCCACAAACCCTACTATTCAATCCCCCATGTAAGTCGTACATCGATTGACGGAGAATTTGTGTCAAATTTTCCCTCCGCCTTCTCCACTGTTGGTACATATTTTCTGCAGATATATACACGTGGCTTTCCTTTGAAGGAGCCCTTAATCTTCTCCCAAAATACAATACAGGTTAGACCGCCACCAAGATCACCCTCAAGCCAAAACTCCACCGTTGTTTCAAAAGCCTAGGTATTTTTCTATTATTTATTTTTCATTGAATTTGACAGTCAAAATCGATGGTGTTGTATTTCCCATATATGTGTTCATATTTCTGTAGCTCTTGTTTGTCAAATTTTGAACTATGATTCCTTGATTATGTTTATACAGTTCAGTTCGTTGCCTGTTATTTGGGCTACTGAGTTATCTGTTTTTCCTCTCATGGTTTTAATCTAAAGGTACATAGTTCCAACTCTTCAATTAAGAAAAAGCTTAGATGTTGGTTTAAGGTTTGAATATGTTTTGGGTATCTTCATTGTTCATGCTAAATAGGGTTCTCAAGGAGTCATTAGGTTTGTATTTGGTGCTATTTTGTTGTTGTTATTGATACTTCATCATCCTTACACCAAAATCAAGTTTTTATTTCCTTTTATGCTATAGGTCTATCATGATAAAAGTAAATACTTAAAGTTCAAATTTCTCGTAGTATTTGGAGGTTTGTGAATTTCAAGGTTCCTACTACAAATGGCCTATCATGGTTACTGTTCTAAGTCCTTTTCAGACTTTTGTACTTTCTATAAGACGCATAGTTCTATCTTTTTTTTTTTTTTGTCATTTTGGTATATGTTATGAACTCTTTTAGTGAATTTCCAATACTAAATTTGATGAAATGTAAAAATTTATAAGTTTGTGTAAAAATGCCAGGTTTGACATTTCAAAATGCCAAGATTGACACGCTTTCATGTTTCAGTTTGGCAGAAGCTTGAAGAAGGAAATCAAGATTTTTTTCAAAGCTTATCACCCAAGATTGAACGTAAAAGATCAAATAATGAAATTCAATAAATTACTACATACACAAGCTAACCTCATGCATGAAATGTCAACTTCAGTTCCTATCTCTAATGGATCTCATGTTCTTCTATGCAAGTTTTTTTCTTTTTTCAAGTTTAGATGTAGTGATATAATTTAATGCTACACAAATACAAAAAGCTATGAAGCTATTCACACCTGTTAGATTTTCATATTATTTTATTAGTAGGTTTAGTGTTGTCATTTATTAGTAAGTTTAGTGTTGTCATAGATCAATGTTGTATGTGCATACTTGCCATGCATTTTGGTCTTTCTATATTTTTTATATTTAACTTCCAGATTCCAACAATCCTTTGATCTTTTGACTTTAATATCGAACTCAATGTATGTTTCGTATCTACAAGGTGAAATTTGTTGAACTGCAAAACAATTAGCACGAAATTTTATTAATAACTTTTTATTCAAATCAGGTGCTTTGAATGCAAAAACAATGGAAGAGAAGGAAAATGTAATGTATTTTTTTTTGACTTTTTGTAGGTTATATCAAGTAATTTGTTTGGAGAAAATCGATTTGGGCATGTAAAGATTGGGAAGGTATATCCAATTACCCCCGGAATCATTGATTCCAAATTTCTACTTTTCTAGAGAGGGATTACTAAAGTAATTGCATATACTCAAATCTTAATTCATTTGGCATTGGTGCTAGAATTTGTTAGAACAATAATGTTTAATGGTTACAGATTCGGGGCATTTCGTTCATTATCTCACCAGAAGTTTTTTCTTTTTCTTTTTTTTTTCACGCTTCATCTCTACCACTGAAGGTGAATATATCGAATCCAGGTACCTTTACAATGAAATCCAATTAGAAAATTTGACTGAATTTTAAAATTTTACTTATAGTAAATTCTTTTATTTCAATATATAAGAAGGGTATTTTGGTCTTTCAGTAAAAAAGAAAGATTGAAATAGAACTAAGTGTCTTTTCACATCTTTTATATATCCAATATGAATTCTTTTACCTTTTTTTATTTATATGTTTTTTTAATTGCTTAACATTATAAAGTCTTCATATTATTACTATTGGCGGTGTTATGTTACAATGTATTAACTTCTGTTTTTTTTTTTTTTTTTTTGAAGTGTAATGTTTGAACCAAATTTATGTGTTACATAGACAAAGAAGCTTGATGTTATTGTTTCCTATCAAGGACAAAATTATCCAATCAAGAAGGATTTGCAATGTAAAACAGACAAGTTAACATATTTTTATACTTTTTTCCTTAGGCTTGATGCAAGGTACAGTATTTTAAAAGATGGTAGGGAGAGAGATTCTGGAAGCATAGAAAATGCCTTGGTTGTGATTAAACGTGGTAATCAATCGCTTTGTTGGTCATTAAAAATGCGATAATAGATTTTATTGTTCCAGAGGTTGGTATGAATAAAAGGGTAAATTGTTCTTTATTTATTCAAAAACAGCAACTTATTTCTATTATTGCATTTTGCACATGAAACTGTTGGGGTGGATCGGTGAGATAAAATCTTTCCACTATGTCTATTTCTTTGCCGTATCCATCCCGCAAAGCGGGGTTCTTCCCTAGTTCACGTTATATATATATATATATATATATATATATATATATATATATATATATATTACATTTCAAAATTTCGAAACACTAATGGGCCGAAAATAGGTTCCAATAGGAAATTGTTTGTTTTTTAAACAACTAAACCACATTATTCTATAAAAATCATATAAAATTTATAAAGTGTCGGAATTAAGAGAAACCTAAAATATGAATCTACAACTTTCAGCAACAAACCAATTCTGTTGAGTTCTAAATATCATATAAATAAGGAAAGCAATGTAGCAATGTTTCAGCTTATCACCAAGTCCACCATCTTTTTTAACGGCAAGGACACACCCTTTGTAATAGAGAATTCCACTATTCGCCAAACCCAATTAATTTTTGACACACACCCTTTGTAACCACATTTTAAATGTTGTTATTTTATATTGTTTAGTTAACTTTTCAGCTTTTTTACCAAAAAAACAATTTTTATTGGTTAGCTTTTTAGCTATCAGCTAACTTTTTATCTAACAACTAGTTTTTTCATCTATCAATTAGCTTTTAAAGCTAGTACCCAAACATAACCTTAGTCTAAAACCCATTTGCATCACAAAGTTGTCAAGGTCATACTAATTAATGGAATGAATGCTTTGTTAAACTTTGAACAAAACCAATATTAAGGCATAGTTATTTCTAGTTTGACCAATAGCAAGTCAAAACCAATTAATTTATCCAGTGTTAGGGTCTTTTTTATGGTTCTTATTCCCGGTTTAACTCTTTTGATTTCAATTTTTGAATGAACAACCAATCAAATATGTGACAATTTATGGCCTATCAAACGAATGAATTCATAAAATTTCATAAAACGATAATGACCATAAAAGGCACCTAACACGCATGAATGAGAAACGATAAACAAGATTAACAAGCCCAAGCAAAACAGCAATGATTCACCAACAAAGCTGATCACATAAAGAACGCACAAATAGAGATTTACAAATCAATCCGGCTTCAAGAGGAACAAAGTGGATTTATGAACCAGAAATGATGTCAAATTGCTTCTCATGTTTCACAACTTCTAATAACTTCAATTACATATACACAAACATAAAAACCATAATGATATAGCTGAAGTTTTACCTCATTAAAGGATAAAGCTTTAAGCGAGAGTCCGAACCACTCTGGTGATTAAATCAATAATCAGCACGCCGATAGTTATTGTAATCATCAAGTTCCCTTGCATTCAAATCACTCTCAGCTTTCTCCACAACCTTTTCCTCTTCATACCTCAATCCGTCATCAATTGCAAGTCCTCCTAATCCCCCTGCCACTGCTCCCACAGCTACTCCCGTCCCAAATCCTGGCCCTGATGCAACCTTCGCTGGCCTCTGTTTATGCTCGTATTGAGCATAATCGACAGGGGCGCTAGGCCCGCTGCTACCACCGCAGTAGCTTGAGGGCCTATCAGTAAATGGTCGTGGAGTCTGCGGAGGCGGTGGCTGAGAGTAGTATCCTCCCTGGTAATAACCAGAATATGGATCCGAATACGATCCGTAGTGGTATGGGTGTGGCGGCGGTGGTGAGGGTGCCGGAGGAGCTACCGCCGATGGCGGTGGCGGTGGCGGTGGGAGGGAAGGAGAAGGATTGTATTGAGACTGGGAAGATGGATACCTACCGTAAGAGGGGGGAGGGGCAGTGGAATAATAATATGCAGGTTGAGGGGCAATTTGGTAATCGGGTAAAGGGCGTTCACGGAGAGCAAGTTTCAGCCGGATCTTACCGTTGGGACGACCAGAAGGACGACGGAGCTCGAAAGTTCTGATGATGGTGGAGTCTTCGAGGTTAGGTAAGTCGTCGATTGGGACGCGTAGGGTTCCAACTAAGGGTTTCGGTGTGTCGGAAGGTTTGGAGTGGAAGATCTCCAGAGTTAGGACGGCGGTGGACGGGGAGGAGGGTAGAGGGATGAGGAACCGTTCGTTCCAGACAGGTTTGGTGGAGTTGGAGTCATCGGATTTTGTGGCAAGGCGGCGATCGGGGTCGAGCCAGAAGATGGCGTAGGGGTTTAGATCTCCGTTTCTCCAGTTGACGTTCTTGAGGTGTTTCGCGGATACGATTGTTATTTCGAGATCGAGTGATTTTGGAGGTGGTCGGTGGGAGGTTGTGGTTGCCATGGTTGGGTTGAGTGATGGCGATGACTGAGATCGGAGAGATGTCTTATGTCTATGGTTTCTTAGAGGGTGAATAATGAAATAGGATAAGTTTGAAGGAGGCAGGTGAGAAATATTTAGAAAAAGCTACCTCTTTTAGATAACTTTTCTTTTCCCGAGGCTATAGTTGTTTATATTTTATAAGACTTGAGGGTGTGGTGCGGTTCCAGGAAGTGCGGTTTCGCCACATAAGCAGCGAACACCGCTCCCTGGGTGCGGTTCAAACCGCAGTACGGCAAAAAATGGTCGCGATTTGTGATTGGATGTGGGTAATTTGACTGTTTTGTGATTGGGTGGGGAGAAATTAAAGTTTTTATTTAAATGTTTTTTTTTAAATATAGTGTGGCACCACTCCTAAGGTGTGGTAAGGAACTGCAATTTTATGGTAAAAATGACGTGGCGCTTACGTGGCAACGAAAGGAGTGCGGTTTCGGTGGCACGACACCCTCCAGCCTAAGACCATGGCATTTTTATCCGGATAACAACGTTACCACTACACAAACACCACATTTTTCACCGTTTTGGCGCGTTATAGGTTTGTAATTGTTTCCCATTAAAACCACAATCTCCCTCAAACGCCGTTTCCTTCTCTAGATGCTAAAATCGTCGGTGGGCGTTGCCCACACCTAATAGCCTAATAGTAGCGTTTTAAAATC